ACGTACACACCAGGTGTTAAAGATAAACGTACACACCAGGTGTTAAGGATAAACGTACACACCAGGTGTTAAGGATAAACGTACACACCAGGTGTTAATGATAAACGTACACACCAGGTGTTAAGGATAAACGTACACACCAGGTGTTAAGGATAAACGTACACACCAGGTGTTAAAGATAAACGTACACACCAGGTGTTAAGGATAAACGTACACACCAGGTGTTAAGGATAAACGTACACACCAGGTGTTAAGGATAAACGTACACACCAGGTGTTAAGGATAAACGTACACACCAGGTGTTAAGGATAAACGTACACACCAGGTGTTAAGGATAAACGTACACACCAGGTGTTAAGGATGAACAAGGATTCACCCTCGCTGTGGGAGCAGGGGAAAATCCTTTGCTACCGCTGTGAAGACACGTGTCTGCAGACGCCTCTGCTGTTAATGCTGCGGATGACAGCAGCAGCTGCACGTCAGACTCTCAGCCCCTCTGTAAATCGTAAATAAAGTGTATAGGAAAAAAATGCATATTTCTAGCCTTTATCTTTCTAGTAAATGAAATGTATCGTGTGAATGAATTAAAAGGTTACTGTGGATTTACGTTTTCTAATGACCTTTTAGAACAGCTATTATTCTTGATTCAGTACCTGTTGTTGTTGTTGTTTCAGATTTAGCTACTCAGAACGAAGTGTCCATGTAGCACGGGCTATGGTGAGCCCGTAAGATTCAGTACCGTTGTTGATAAATATAGTTTAACCGGGATTTTATGATGTGCCCCGAGTGTGTTCACGTCGACATGAAGAAGGTTAAGGTAAGAAGACTAAAGAAGACTGCGAATCTTAAAGAGAATACTTCACGCCGCTGTTCTCTGGAACATGACTAGTCAGGTATGGCCAGGGGCCAGATTCACGAAAGCACTTAAGCAAGCACTTAGGAACGTGTACATCTTTCCTCAATCTTTGACGGCTTTGGTTACATTTATAAAACAGTTTACAAGCATGAAAACTTCCCATTCAACTGTTGTTATTGTTATAAACAGCCTCCTGGTGCTTCGGAGCTCATTATTTTTTTAATAATTGTAAACAAAGCCGCCAAAGATTGAGAAAAGATGTACAAGTTCGTAAGTGCTTGCGTAAGTGCTTTCGTGAATCTGGCCCCTGGGCCTCAGGCAATTACTGCTGGCTGAAGTGGGGCGAACAATTAAGGATCAGTGTTT